CCACATGATTGTGCCTAGGGCTCGAACAGAGTTAGGGAAGCAGGCATTCAGAATCTCTGCCCCATCAGCGTGGAACCTATTACAGAATGACTTAAAACTTGATAACTTGGTCTCCTTTGGTCACTTTAAGAGGCTAGTAAAGTTTCAGGAAACAGCCACAATGGGCACCTGTCCCTGCTTCCCAAATTAGGATAAGTGTATAATATTTTAATTTGTTACATAGTATTTTTAACTGTTGTAAGGTCATTGTATTTTACTTTTTAAGCATTGTAATTGTTAATGTACTTACTATGTCCTGTATGTTTATTGTTTTTATTTTTATTTTGTATTTTATGTGGAACCTTTACTGGGCCTTCTTGGCCAGGGCTCCTTCGCAAAAGAGACTTGTACTCAAAGGATTTCCCTGGTTAAATAAGGGTTAAATAAAAAAAAAAAATAAATCCTCTTTTTCAGGACTTTTTTGTTTGTGCTCTCTTTTAGGTAGGTTTGTCTTTCCCGTATGTAGTCTCTTACAGGTGTCTCTTGTCCAACTGGTAAGTATGTGTAACCCCTCCACCCGGGTCCTACTCGCCCCGCTGCGAGCGGGCCTCCGGCGTGAGAGTCGGGCGCTCTAGCAAGGAAGCTAAAGACTGCAGCCCCTAGCGTCTGTCGCTAGAGCGCCTATTGAGGTCGGGGAGTGAGGTTTACTCGCACAGCAACTACTAGCTGGCCTCCGTTACACTCACCCCCCTAAACCTCACTCTCATCCGGGTCACGGCACCAATGTAACCCCTCCACCCGGGTCCTACTCGCCCCGCTCCGAACGGGCCTCGAACCCGGGTCTCCGGCGTGAGAGTCGGGCGCTCTAACAAGGAGGCTAAAGACTGCAGCCTCTAGCGTCTGTCACTAGAGCGCCTATTGAGGTCGGGGATGTCAGGTTTACTCGCACAGCTGGCCTCCGTTACATATGCATCCATCAGTCCTGTTTCCCTCATCAGTACTGCATCTAAACATTCTTTGTGGGTCACGGTAGGTTTCTTTGGAGTCCAACCAGGCACTGTTGTAGGAGATGACTTTGACACCGTACTTTGCTCTCTCTCTGAGGCCGCTGATCCATCATGTCCAACTTGATCATTTTCCTTCCTGACTACAGGAGTTCTCATTGCCTCATGTGCCAACTGAGAGACAAGTTCACTCGGAGGTTTTCTGTTTGACTGTTGAAGAAGGCCTGAAGATTGAGTTAACTGTGTCTTTGGCGGTACAGCATGTGTTGGTAAGCACTGTATGAGTTTCTTGCTAATTTCTTCATACCTGGCTAGCACTTTAAGTAACTCAGTATTAGCTGTGTCAGGTGTATTTAACATTGCTGGTTCTTTTGGGCCTGAATCTAGTTCAGCAATATCACAAGGTGACGCAGACCTAGCTACATTGAATGTGTGGTGGCTCTGTCTAAGTGTCTGTGGTGTTTTCAGGGACTGTTTGGGTAATGACTGAATTTTCAATAAAATCAACACGGTTATCAAGCTTACGCCGACCCTGTACAGTATGTAATTCACAATCACCTTCTACATTTGGCATCGACACATCATCATCACAACATTACACCAAAGCATCAATAGCGTCTTTCAATATCAACAACTGAACCATTCCCTTGTCCTCCGTGTCAAGTAACTGCTTACTGTGCATGAACGGGTTGATGTAATCATAACATCCTTCCTCCTCTCCCTCCACAAGCTCTGACTGGTCCTCACTCGACACTGGCTCCACCGCTCTGGTGACCTGAAGAAGCTCTCCAGCTGACAGGCTGCATAAGCTTTTCCTAATGTCCCACACAGGGCCGGATTGGGACTCATTTTCAGCCCTGGAGTTTCATGCCTTAGACCGGCCCGCTTTAGTTCCCGACTGACTATATTAAAATAATGTAATTAAAACCTCAGTATATAAGCAATAGTGTTCTGTACAGCCTTGTAATTCATTGTATTTTTCAAAAATATTATTTTCTATTCAGTGCAATAGCCGGGTATGCTCCCCCGGGTTTTTTTTTTTTTTTTTTTTTTTTTTTTGTGTGAAAGTTTTGAAGTTTTGTGCAAAGAAATATAGAATAAAAGTAGGTCTAGCAAAGTCTTATATTTCTGCAAGTCACACAGAATAAACACAAATTCTGGTTGAATAGATTGCTAGCTGAGAAACACTGCTTTGATAATTGTAATAATGACTTTGTGAAATGTTAACTAAACAGCATGAGCTTCTTCCAGCTGGCCAGTAAGGTTATTTGGCAAATTTCATTCTGTAACATACAGATCTGTATAATGCTATTGTTTTTGATAGTGTTATAGCTTACATTTCTTACAGAAAATCACGATGATCATTGCGTTTGTCTTACCGAATGTGATAGCTTTATGCAATTACAGTTTGTCTATAAGCTTTTTTTTATTTTTTTTATTAACGCTGACAGTAAAGTGTTGCCAGATATTGCTGCGAAAAACAAGCAAAACAAAATAATAATAATAATAATGCGAGATTAGTTGATAGCTTGTGTTTTGGAAATAAGATGAATATATCACTAATCCTAACATGCAACTTTCCACTTTAATAACTTTTTAAAGTGTCACATTAAATCAGAAAAACAGGTCCAGGAGATAACTGCACTTTTCCATTAGGTGGATCTGGCAACACAGATGCTGCACTCGCGCTCTCATTCACAACGCGCTGTTCACTGCGCTATAGCTTCTCACAGCAACATGAATTGGAAACACTCATGTGAGGTGGTTTAAACATGCCTAATTAATCATTCAAAGAGCATGACATTTTATTTTTGAATGTAAAAAAATGATGGAGATCCGAACCTCGCGGTGACCTCACATCTGTGTTAAATAGGAATCCATTGTAATAAAGTTATTCTCATTCTGGGCACAGTATGCAATAGGCAATGGGCTCTATGCACGGCATTATTTCCGGTGAAGGATTAAGGATGCTCGATAACTTCCGCCGATCATAGAGTCCAATGCAATACCGAGAATTTATATTGAATTTTATACTCCATGGTTATACTAATGAAACGTTAGTCACAAAAACAGATAAAACAGACACCCCTCGTTGTGTTTATGCTTCTTTTTAAAATTATATTAAATAAACATAACTATATAGCCTATAAAATTACATCTAAACGTATGTACGTTTCGTTTCAAAGACGGGAGGACAGTAAATATTGAAGACTCTGCCATAATCCCGTTTTCTCCGGTTTTCCTCCGCTTTAATCTACACAACCGGAAATGGACGAGCATCCTTACGTCAAATGCGGAACTTATGCGTGCATATAGCCCATTGATCTTCCTGCTTCTCCTCCTCTCTTCTTCTCTCAGTCTCTGTATCTTTACCTGTAAATCTCCCCTTCCCGAAGTTGAGCTTTGATTAATAGTCTTTGCAATCTGATTAATGTCGGTCGTTTAAAACTTCTATCGTAAAACAGCTGTTTAGTTTGCATCGCTAACATAGGTCCAGCGGGCCACCGGTGTTGCAGTCGATTCTGTTCCCTACTGGAATGGGCTCTATGCACGGCGGTATTTCCGGTGAAGGATTAAGGATGCTCGATGACTTCCGATCGTATAGAGTCCAATGCAATACAGAGAATTTATATTGAATTTTATAGTCCATGGTTATAATAAAGAAACGTTAGTCACAAAAACAGATAAAACAGACACCCCTCGTTGTGTTTGCTTCTTTTTAAAATTATATTAGGCTAAATAAACATAACTATATATAAAATTACATCTAAACGTATGTACGTTTCGTTTCAGAGACGGGAGGACAGTAAATTTTGAAGACTCTGCCATAATCCCGTTTTCCTCGGTTCTCCTCCGCTTTAATCTACACAACCGGAAATGGACGAGCATCCTTGCGTCAAATGCGGAACTTATGTGTGCATATAGCCCATTCCTGTTCCCCCTGACAGCGCATGCGTAGCAGTTGCAACGAAGCTCAGCTGGATGTACGGAAAGCGAAAAAGGCCAAGCATTGGCGCAACATTTAAATGTCTTACTACTGCAGCATAATAAAATGGCTCTTGCACTCCAATGATATTTCTGTGAATTCATGGTAACACTTTACAATAAGGTTCATTTATTAAACATTAGTTAATGTATTAACTAACATGAACTAACCATTTGTTACTGTATTTGTTATTCTTTGTTAACGTTAGTTAATACAAATCTGTTCATTGTTGTTCATGTTAGTTCACAGTGCGTTAACTAATGTTAACAAGATTTTTAAAAAGTATTAGTAAATGTTGAAATTAACATTAACAAAGATTAATAAATGCTGTAGAAGTATTGTTCATTCTTTGTTAATTTTAACTTAATAACGGCCGCCCCCGGTACCGGGGGCAACGGGGCTTAGCGCCTTTTATGTCCTTTCACTTCAAAGCGCAACCTAACTATGCCGCATATCCCCGTAATCAGACAGAACTCCGCTAAAAAATGATGCTATTCATTTTCGCCAAAACAAAACACACATCAAACACGAAGCAATTGAGTAATTTTATTGTAAAACACACTGTCTGTCTGAAACACGTTGATGACAGTAGTCACAGCACTTCTAATCTCTCTGATGTTGATCTATGAAGGCAAACGACCACTCAAATGATTCAGGAGGCTCCACAGAATCCAACAGTCTAACTCACATCACTGTACGACAAAAACTCACGAAGTAAACAGTCAGTGAACAACAAAAAAAAACTTTTATTTACACATTTACCACTATGAATTGTGTCTTCGATTGCTGTCTTGAGATAAAAAATGTGTACAATGCCATATCAACTGTGTTTGCGATTACTCCGATGCCTCTGTGTCACTTTGAGATGATTCCGGACAGTCTGCAACTATGTCCTGCTGTGGAAACAGACTGCGCATGAGGAGTGGGGTGAAACGTGCTAGTCTTACGCAATGCGTGTGTCGGCTCCTGGTTGGCTAGTGGTGTTGTTTGCGCGGATTTTGCGAAATGCCATCGATTCTATTGGTTCTGAAGAAAGAGGTGTCAATCATCCAAATTGACCAATCGGTTGCCGAGATATGGATGCGCGTAGGACGTTTGCCTTCATGACGCAGCGCGCACAGCCAATAGAAAGGATCGCTCTGCGGATAAATAGTAGTAGCGCGCAGCTGATCGCACACCTGAATTCACTGATTGCACTCGTGGATTATAATATTGACTATTGAGCCATTCCTTTTCGTTTCTCGGAGAAATAATGGCACAGAGAAAATGGGAGAAGAAGATGTCGGCCGCCGAAGCACTGGCAATGATTCAAGCGGACTTAGAAGCTCCAGTCAGTGCCATTGACTCTTCATCTGAGGATGAAGATCTGTTTGTTGCTGAGGGCATTTCTGATCCTGATTATAAACTGCCGACATCCGAAAGGTATGTGAAATACGTTTTGTTATAATTTACTTCTCGTGTTTGGTATCAAAGTACGGAGCTGTTTCACTGTTATTTGTGTAAAATGCCCGTTTTTCTAGTTAGCTTTCTAGCTTCCCTACAATGAATGGATCATAGACTGTAAAAAATATGGACAAAGCGTCTGAATACACAAACTCAAACTGGCTTTTTTGCTTACTTTCTTTGTTCAAAGATGTTTACTACACACTCAAAGTGGATTGTTTGTTTGCTTACTTTCTAAGTCCAAACATGTTTACCACACACTCAAACTGGATTGTTTGTTTACTTTCCCAGTACAAACAAAATGTACTAGTGTTTACAGTTACTGTGGGTTATTTCTCTAAACTTCTATAAACATTTCTAGGGATTTCAGTTAGTCAGTGGGTTATGTTACTACAGTTTTCGGTAACAGTGAATCATTTCTGTTCAAATACAGTGTCAGTGTGAATATATCTTTATAGTTTTTCTTTCTCCTTTGTTTCACAGTGATGATGAAGATTATGAGGGGCCTTCATCTTCTGCTACCTCTGCACCAGCCCACCCCCCCCAGCCAAGGCCATCAACACCTCTGCCCCAGCCACGCCGCACCACCCCCCGACGCGCTTCTGCACCACAGCTACAGGCAAGGCCATCAACACCTCAACCACAGCCATCAAGCACATCCCCCACCTCATCTGATTCGGATGTGCCTCAAGAAAGCCGTCCAAAAAGAAAGGGGAAAGCACTACAGAAGTCAGCTAGACCTAAGCGTGGTCGGAGTAGGTCTGCCACTTCAAGAGACCAAGAGCAGCCGTGGCACAACAGAGAGGAGAAGGACAACAAACCTGACCCACCCAGATTCATGCCAGCCAGGACCCCAGGCCCCACCTTTGATACAACAGCATCATGGTCTCCCCTCACACTGTTCCAGCTTTTTTTTAGTGCATCTGTGGTCAGGACAATAATTGACAATACAAATTTCAATGCTGCGAAGCGACTACAGGCTGGCATGAAGTTTGTGTGGAAGGCGCTGACGGCACAGGAATTTTATGTTTTCATGGCCATCATAATTTATACAGGCCTCGTTCAGGTGCATCTCAGATCTGACTACTGGCGGAAGGCGTGGCCATATAACTTCCACTTCCCAAGTGAAAAGATGTCACGGGACCGCTTCGAAGCCATCTTGTGGTCCCTGCATTTGAGTAACCCAGAAGAAGACGAGGAGAATGAGCGGAAGAGGAGCACGGATCAGTACGACAGGCTTTTCAAGATCAAGCCTCTCTACACTGAGATGGTGACTGCCTGCCAAGCAAACTTCCACCCGAATAAAAACATTTGCATCGACGAGAGGATGGTCGCGTCCAAGGCCCGCAGCAGCATGAAACAATATATGAAGGACAAACCAACAAAGTGGGGTTACAAACTCTTTGTGCTGGCTGATGCAGCAACTGCGTACACATGGAATTTTTTTGTGTATGCTGGCAAGAGTGTGGACACCACAGGCCATGGTCTCAGCTACAGTTCAGTCATGGACCTTTTGCCATTTCCACTGCTTGGTAGGGGCTATAATTTGTTTGTTGATAATTTTTATACTAGCCCTGCCCTGTTTCTGGACTTGTACACAAAACACATTGGTTGTTGTGGGACCATCAGGCAAAATCGTATTGGGTTTCCACATACTGCACAAAACGACCTCCACAAAAAGGCTGCCCGGGGAGATATGCGCTGGATAAGAGATGGCAAACTTCTCTTTGTGAAGTGGATGGATACCCGGGAGGTGACCATGTGCTCCACTATCCATGAGGCTTTTAGTGGACACACTGTCAAGAGGAAGGTAAAAGAGGCTGGTGTGTGGAAAACCAAGTACATCCCTATTCCAGACGCTGTGGTGGACTACAACAAGAACATGGGTGGTGTTGATGTATCTGATGCCTTGATAGGCTATTACACTGTGCACCACAAGACAATGAAGTGGTACAAGACTTTCTTTTACCATTTTATTGACATCGCTGTGGTGAACAGTTTCCTTCTGCACAAGGAGTTGTTCAAGATGAGGAACGAGCCCACACTCACGAAGCCTCTCACACAGAAAACCTTCAGAGAGAGGTTGGCTGCAGAAATGTTGAGCTTTGCTGAGGCCTCAGCAGCTCCACCTCCTCCACCACCACCACCACAGCCCACCTGCATGCCTATGTATTATGGGGGTGATGCCACACAAGCACGGCGGTACTGCAGGAGATGCCAGGAGGCTGGCATCCAAAGAGTAAAAACCCCCATATATTGCCGGAAGTGTCAGGTCCCTCTGTGCCTTACCTCAAAGAAAAACTGTTTCCAGGAGTGGCATGACAGCCATTAGTGGTATCAGGAGAACAGATCTAGCTATTGCTAGTGTTTTTTTTTTGTGTGTGTGTGTCTTTTTTTTCACCAGTTTATTTATACTGAGTTTTGTTGTTTTCAGTTTGTTTTGAATAAATCTGCTCCATTTGGAGTCAAACTTTATTCCTTTTGTATGTCTTTTTTGCATGGGAAACTATAATGAGGTCTGGTTGATTTTTCAAAACAAAGCCAAAAATTTAGTTTTTAGATGGAATAAATAGCTATAGTGACATGTAAGTGAAATCAAATGAGTTTTACAGTTTGGTACCTGAGAAATTTCAAATGGCACAGATGGTGCCAAATTGTGCCCAAATGAGCTCAAAAAATTTGGAGAGTTCGCCTAGATATGCCTCTAATATATCATGTATAACTCTGCTATACTAGACTCTTATAACATCAAACTTTGAGCAGATGATGTTGAGATATTATTTTTTTGTTTTCTACAGTTTTTAGGCTTTGAACAGCATTATACCTAGGGGATTTTCCCTATAAAATGTGGTGTTTTTTTAGGCAAGAAATAAATATTTTATTTATGCTATTTTCCATCTGATATTATTCTTCAATAATAAAAGATAGACTTTTACTTACAATGTATATATATCCCTTAGGTTCTGATCTATCCAACGATACCAGAATCATGTATGTGGGTCTTACGGTTGAAAAGTTATACCTGTTTGTTTTAGGGGATACTATTTTTAGCCATTTTTTTTTTTTTTTCAAATCAGGGGGCAGGGCTTAACATTGTTTTTTAGTACTATTATTATTTTTATTAATATTCATAATATGTATCTGTTTTATTACATGTATACACATATTATTATTTGTAATCTTTGCATTTTGTGATTATAATGTTTTGAAGATGTAGGAGAGAGAGAGACTTTAGGAGACTTTGTGATAAGTTAAACTGTATGAGTGAATGTATGTTGGAGTGAGACTGAAAGTTTATGCAGTGTATAGGGAAACGATATACATTCCATTGGTAATGGGAACCATATGTTCTTGTGGTAATGCATGTGTTACTATGGTGATGCAGTTTTTTCCTTGGTCAGTGGTATAAAGACTGAGACCCTTTGTTCAAAAAGCAGGAAAAAATGGTAACGATGCAGAATGAAGACCTCTTCCTCCTATGTCTTATTGTCACGGTGTGGCTCTGGCAGAGGAACGAGGAGACCGGAGTATCAGGAAGAACAGGTTTTTAATATATATAAACAGGCAGGCAGGCAGGCAGACAGACAGACAGGAGCACGGGCACCACACGGGTTCACAATAAACTTCCATAGACAACGACCGACAAAGACAGAATGAAACTGAGGGAACTAAATACACAGAGGAATCAGACATAATGGGGTGAAAACAGGTGAAACAGATGAAACCGGACGCTGAACGGGAGGCTGATGAGGGAGTGAGTTCAGGTGTGCAGACGAGAGGATCATGGGAAGTGTAGTGCAGGAGACGCAGGCAGGATGGTGCAGAGGCAGACTGTGACACTTATAAATATTATAAATAAATTCGAGAGATCTCTTGGCAAAATCACTGGTGTCTCTTTTCATGGGGAAAGCAAAATAAGTTTTTTTAGATCTACAATTTGGCGTCACGGGAACAGGATGGCATGTCCAGGCATTCGTCTCAATCATTGCAGGTAAGACTTTTTGCTTTATAAAAAGTTCTAAGTCTGCCTGATGATTAGAGACAGTGACTGAAACTGCTGAAAAGAACTGTGTGATTTTGGGTACCAGTTGTTTTGCCAATGAATATAAGACATAGTAAAATATAAATACCAAAATGAATAAAAATTAAGTCATTTGAATTGAATTTGGCTTATTTAGGTTCTCTGAAAAGTAAACCTCAAATAATATTTGAAATGCTAGGATAGAGGTGGATCTTTTTTAGAAAAAAGACCATCTAGTCAGAAATTTGGAATTAGCTGTAAAACGGTTAAGCTAGTAAAATTTGCTTGGTTATAACTGCGATGTGGTTGGATAGTGGCGGGACTGTTTAAAGAAGGCAGAGTAATCCCTAAAACATCCAACACACCGAAGATTCGTTCTCAAAAGGAAACGAGGAAAGTTGTAACACAGGCAAAACTTGATTGACCAAAGCGGTTAATGTGGCGGGACTGTTTTAAAAATGATGGCAGAGTAATCCCTAAAACATTGTAACACGCTAGAGTTATACAAGTATAAAAGGCGCCCTTGTAACTAGCTAGGATCGTGGGCATTCTGAACCTGACCGTAAAGCTGTTCAAATATTTGAGGAGACTGATCCGAGTTAACTTTAAGGGAAAAATAAATACCAAAGAAATTAATCTGAGATAAAATCCAAAGTATTTGAGAAGAAAGAAAAAAAAAGGAACTGTTTTGAGTTTTAAAAAGAAAACTAAAATACTGAAAAGCATCAGAGTTAACTTTTCTTTAAATGTTTCTTTTGTTCTGTGAGTGAGGGAGAAAGAGAGCGAAGCAGCCCCTCCCTTCAGAATTGCCTTGTACCTTCACACACACACATCCAGTTGGAGAGGGAGAGAGGCAGGGAGCCCCACACACACATACTTAGACACACACACATTGGCTGCAGCTCTGAGCACATACACATACTTACACAGACAGCCTGCAGCTCTGAGCACACACACACACACACAATACATACATAGCCCCTCCCGTATAATTCACACACATATGTAGGCACACATTCATTCCTGCTGTTCTGAGCAGAGACTTTTAACACTTTGAAAATGGCAGCAAGTGTCTGTACCAGCACAATAGCTGAATGGTATCTTGAAAAGAAGAAGAACAAGAAACTAACTAAACTTTTGAAAAATGGACTGGACATTGAAGCATACCACAAGTTAAACAAAATCATGTCCATCAGTGTCCATCAACCACCAGTGATGATTTATTTGATCCAGATTGGACAAATATAATAACTGAAGCTGAAAGGAAATATTCACAAGCACCAGTGAAATCCGCGACAACAGTAACGCCTCCACCTTACAAACCAATTTATCCACCTTTGCCTGAGCAATACACAAGTTCATCTAAACCTCTGACGCAGCCTCAAGCTTCAAGATCAAACGGAGGTCCAGTTGACAAAATGTATATTGCATCTGCACAAGCAGCTCCAATAATAACGAGATCTAAATCAGCCCAGCCAAGCAGAGACATGATGAGATGTACACCAGCTCATAATTATGGATCTGACTGGGGTGACGAGACAAGGGATGACGACATGATCACAATTGACAAAATCGGTCCTGAATTTTCTTCACCTGTGATTAAAAGGGAAGAGTCGCAACCTGAGATGATGGCCGAAGAAAGACCGTTTACTCCGGGAGAACGACAAGCCATTCTCACAGCCTTGCCTCCTCTGAAGAGACAAGATCCAAACAGAGTTTTGGTGAGAATTATACTCTCTGGTTGAAGCACATCAAATGACACTAAGAGACATTCACACCAGTGTGAAAGCTAAAATCCCAAGAGACAGATGGGAACGCTTGCCAGCAGTGATAACATCAGCCCAATGGGTAGACTTTGGGGTTGATGGCCAGGGAAGACACCTGGGTCTTTGGCAAACATTAGACGAATTTCGAAAAGAAATCCAAGAAATCTTGGGAAGTGGTAAAATTCCATTCACATCAGTGACATTGATTAAGCAAAAGGATGATGAATCTCCAGATGAATATGCTCTGCGTAAGTGGAACGCTTATGAGAGATGGGCTCTCTGTGCAAAGAAACAACCTGACAGAGATGATGTACAATTCACTGAAACACTTGTTGATGGCTTTAGCTCTAAATACCAACAAGCGTTATCACTTGGAGTCAATCCAGGCGAAACGTATGACCAAATTATGCAATGGGCTGGCCGTCTAGAGATGGCGATGAGATCAAACCTGGAAGAAGGAAACAAGCCAAACCAAAAAGGAGTGGCGACAGTTCAATACAACATGGACATAGAGAGGTGGTTGAAGATTTGCAGCAACTGTGGAAAGCATGGACACTTAAGAAAAGACTGTTGGGCTAAAGGAGGTGGAGCCAGAAGGTCAAGGTCCATCTTTTAAACAAGTCATTGTGAAAAAACCATGATGAAACCTCTCAAGGGAGGACGTGGACTGAAGCACAAGTTCGTCAGCTCATTGAAGGAATTATGTGTAACTGATTACTGGAACAGCAATGGTTCTACTTCCTGGTGTTATGCCACCTGCAGAAACAGGCTCTACTTTGTTTCAAGAGAAATTAAGATGTTATTTCACAATGCTCGACAAAATTACCAAAGACAATAATAGAAAGTGAATTCAACAGCAATGGGATGAAAACACACCACTACTGACATTACACATTCCTGAGTTAGGCAGTTTTGTTATAGTCAAGCATGTTGTAAAGGGAAGGGTGTAGGAACAGATAGATGGTATCATTGGTTACAAGTTAAACCTTGCTTAGTGAATAACAAAATGATGATGGCCTATGGTTTAAGATTCAGCAAATCTAAGAATTCATTTTTTTAAATACTGGGAAAAGTGATGATTAATTGTTTTTCTGTTTCCATTTCAGGAATCAAGTTCATTGACATTAATTAGAGATGGTTGTAAGTTATTCTTGATAAATACAAAATGGATAGAACCGAAATGGGAAATATGGTGTGAGATAGGAGATTTTATGTTCTACACTACTTACAAAACACAACCTCACAAACAATGAACACCCGCTTACTGATTTACAACCCCAAGGGATAGGACCCTTTAAGATCAATGTTTTTTTTTTTGTTTATTATTTTTAAGGACTGAACTGGGGGATTTAATTAATTAACGAGTTAATTAACGAGTTAATTAATTAATGAGTTAAGGCACGGGCAGAAGACTTTTTTAGTTTTTATTTCCTTAGATGATTGGGGTTCATTTTAAATGCTTACACATAGATGTTAAATGACACATAGCATACGGGGACATAACATGGGTTGGGTTTTTGTTTGTTATTTGTTTTCTTTCCTTTT